TGCTGTTGCGCTTCATGAGCCAGGGGGCCTCGAAGAAGCCGGTCAGGGAGTCGACGTCGACGACGGAGCCCTTGATGGTCACCATGTCGGTGTCGAGCTCGTAGCCCTTGAGGTAGCCAAAGGTGCCGAAGTAGATGTACACCTTGCCGTTGTCGACGAGGACGGTGGGGTCAATGTTCTGGATGTTGTTGCCGGGGGAGGGGACCGTCTGGGAGATGATGGGACCGCTCGGGTGGGCGTCCTTGAAGGGGCCGAGAGGGCTGTCAGAGACGGCGACGCCGATGGCGAAGGGGTCCGACGCGGAGGTGGACTTTTGAGTGACGGGGCTGTACAAGTAGAACTTGCCATCCGGGCCCTGGACGATCTGGCTGGCGTAGGCGGTGCCCTGGGCGGCCCAGGAGAAAATTGAGTTGGGCTGGGCGACGTCGCGGTGGAGAGTCCAGTCGGCGCCGGCCGGGTCCGGGTTCTTGGCCTCAAAGATTTGCCATTCGTTCATGACGAAGCCGTTCTCGTTGGGGCCGGCCTCGTCGCGGCCGGAGAGGATGTAGAGGGTGTCATTGACGACGAGCGGCGCCGGGTCGGCGGAGTAGACGGAGCCGTCGGCGAGGATCGGGTTGCCGGTGGACTTGAAGGTAGTGGAGGTGGACTGCCGGCGGACCGGGATGAGGCCCGCGCTCAGGGGCTGGACCAGCAGCGAAGTCGCGAGACTCGCCCACATGAGGTTGTTGAACATGGTTGAGATGGGGCACACAAGTGGGTAACGAATGGAAGGGAAGTAAGTAGTGAGAGACAAAAGAATGGAAGAATCACACAGTGATTCGAAGAGTTGACTGACAGTTCAAGTGAAACTAGAAAGAGTTTCTTAGGATCGGGTAGGTCTGCTTATACTTAAGAAAGTCATTCAGAACATTTTTTGAGTCTCTAACATGAATAACCTTAGTTGGGCGCATCCACTCTTTCTGCTTCCCCTGGAATCTCGTGAGTGACACAAATAAATTGGCTTTGCGCCAGATCGTCCGCTAAACCCCCCAAGCGACCTCGTACTTTTGCTGCCCCCCTTAACATGGCACAACCGGGGTGTCCATGAGAACAACCGAGTCAATTCATTATTCTCCTTCTCGAAGAACTTTAACAGAGTCAATTAGGTAACCGTCGCCTCGCTCTCGCACCCTTTACGTACTGGGTTAATTACCTGCCCTATTATCCCACTTGATTTCATCATTTCAGTCTCTATCCCACCCGGCTCAACTTCTTCAAAGAGTCTTGGAATTCAATGTTTGATAATCTATGATGGTGCCGCGCAGCCGGCGTAAACCATGCGTGGATTTTGATTCCCCCGTTGGAGGGATGGAGCCTCAGTGGCATCAAATGTCACTCTCTATTTGCGGCCCAATCAAAATGAGACCAAGCGATTTTGAGGGTTGCATTCAACGGTCGATGGGCTGTTGGTAACTTGGTACCCCGCGTTTAATCCGACTAGTCTCTTGCGCTAGAAGGGGCGATACGGGCTTGGTAAAATGCTTAAATCACGTCTAGCATCCTTTGACCTTCCAAGTTGAGGTTATCCAGAAACGAAAAGGTGTGTAGCTTCAAGGTGAGCGCACATCACAATAACTAAGTATTTGCGGTCGCTGGGAAGAGTCGGATCAGCCGCCCGATCCTGTGTCGCACTCGGGCGTTTGTCCCGGACGAGTTATCCACAGATCATGAGCCAAAAGCGACGTGTGAGAGGTTATGCCGTCTGATTCTGTCAAGACGAGGGAGTCCCTGGTGAAGCTCCGTTCCGTATCTGTACAGGTGTGATCGGGCACGATGCCGGACACGAGGTGGCATCGACATCTGCCTATAATATGCACCTTGGGTTGCAGTTGAGTCGTCGTTCGCCTCAATGAACCCCTCAGTTCACGGTAGGCGGAAGCATCATCAATAACGTAACCGAGTTGCCCTGAGCCATCATGTTGGACACACTATATAACGGCACGTTTCAATGAACTTGGAAGTTGGTAATCAGATCTGTAGCCAACAGGTTTCTATTCGTCCTCAATCTCAAGTGTCGCAAAGGCTCAGGCTTCCTCCTCCCCCACGATGGTCTCCCTTGGCACACTTCTCGTGTCCGCCGGCCTGTTAATCACAGGTGTTCTCTCCCAGGACAACCTTGGCCTCAGCAGCGGATACATCACCCTGACAACAAAGAATTTCAACCTTCAACTTGTCGAAAATGCCCAGGTCCTAGCCTCTCTCAAACCCGCCGGCGACACCTTTGACTTCCTCCCACTAGACTACCTCTCTCTCCGCGCCCGCAACGGCCAGTACCACTGGGGCGACATCACCTACCGCTACCGCCAATCCGGCACAACCGCCTGGACAACCGGCGACTCCGCCGCGGCCCGCCAGCCCGTCACCACCATCGCCCCGGCCACCGGCATCCTCGCCTCCTCCCGTCTCGGCCCCACCCTCCCGTCCGGCAGCCCGCTCAACATCACCCGAGAATGGCTCGACGTCTCTGGCGACCTCGGTCTCCGCTTCACGCTCCAGAACTCTGGCTCTTCGGCCATTGAGATTGGTAGCCTCGGCTTCCCGGCCGAATTCAACAGCATCTTCACGAACCGCTACGCCGCCGACATGCAGCGCGTCTGCTCCCTCTCGGATCCTTACGTCGGCATGCACGCCGGCCAGATCCGCGTCGCGCCCACCCGCGGCACCGGAGCTGCTCTCGTCGTCACCCCGCTGGGTGACACGCCCCTCGAGGCCTACCGCAACCTCGCCGAGCGCAGCTACGAGGGAACCTACTACGGCAGCCAGACGTTTGAAGGCTTCTACGAGTGGCAGGTCCTCACAAAGGCCTGGGCTGAGAACGAGTGGCGCTCCCAGACGCCATGGAATGTTCCATCATCCAGGACCCTTCAACCAGGCCAGTCACTCCAGTTTGGAGTCCGCTTCTCCGTCGCAAAGGGCGGCGTCAGGGACCTCGATACCACAGTCCGCGGCACAGGTACCCCTACCGCCGTCGGCGTGCCGGGCTACATCATCCCACGCGGCGAGCCAGCGCAGCTCTTCCTTCAATACGCCCAATCCACAGTCCGCTCCATCGCTTCGGAACCAGCTGGCGCCTTGACGGTCACGCTCGTCTCGGCAGGAAAGTACACAGTCACCCCCTCCACAACAGCCTGGGGCCGCGTCCGCCTGACCGTGACCTACGCCGACGGCAAGCTTCAAACAATCCACTACTATGTGACCAAACCCTCCACCGAGGCCGTCGCCAGCCTCGGTAAGTTCCTCACCACGGCGCAGTACTTCAACGATACATCGGACCCCTTTGGTCGCGCGCCATCAGTAATGACATACGACTACGAAACCAAGTCCATCGTCACGCAGGACTCCCGCGCATGGGTAGCAGGCCTCAGCGATGAAGCCGGCGCAGGCTCATACCTCTCCGCCTTCATGAAGCAAGCCGTCCAACCAAACGCAGACGAGGTAACCAAGCTCGAAGCCTTCGTCGACCGCGTCCTCTGGAAGACGATCCAAACCACCGACTTCGCCGTCCGCAAAGCAATCTTCTTCTACGAGCCCGCCGCCGTGCCGGGGTACGCCTACTCCACCGCCATAGACTGGACCTCCTGGACATCCTGGAACAAGGCCGCCGCCTACTCCATCGACCGCGCGTACAACTACGTCCACGTTGCGGGCGCCTACTGGTCGCTCTACCGCGTCGGGCGAGCCTACCCGGCGCTGCTCAAGACGCACGCGTGGGACTGGTACCTCAACCAGGCGTACGAGACGGTCATGCGCGCGATGAAGGGGGATGTCGGGTATAATCGCGTCGGGTTGATGGGGGAGACGGTGTTTGGGGAGATTCTGGCGGATTTGGGCCGCGAGGGGCAGACGACTAAAGCGAATGCGTTGTCTGCTGCCATGAGGTCGCGGGCGGCGCAGTGGGATACGGAGGAGGTGCCGTTTGGGAGTGAGATGGCGTGGGATTCGACTGGGCAGGAGGGTGTTTACTACTGGGCAAAGTGAGTTTCCTGGGCCTTCGAAACTTTCCACGGTGGAACCCTCCCAAAGCCTCTGAGGCGTGAGACGGGTCGAAGTCTGCTTGAAGACATTGGCTTACAGATATCAAAAGGTACTTTGGCTATACCAACACGGCGACAAAGTCCGTCAACAGCGTCCTCGGCTTCATGCCGACCGTCCCTCACTGGGGCTGGAACGGCAATGCCCGCCGCTACTGGGATAACATGTAAGTCTTCTACATCCCCCTCTCCCTACACTATTCACCTCAGCCCAACTCCCTCTCCGACCCTCAACTCAAAGCCATCATCTAACAACCAACCCGTCACCAGTTACGGAGGCAAACTCCGCCGCATCGAGCGCCAAATCCACCATTACGGCTCCGGCCTAAACGCCCTCGTCCTCCTCTCCGCCTTCCGCTCCGCCCCAACAGACACCTACCTCCTCCGCACAGGCTACGGCGGCACCACCGGCCCCCTCTCCAACATCAACCAAGACGGCTTCGCCGCCGCCTCCTTCCACAGCTGGCCCGACACGCTAAAGTGGGACGGCATCAGCGGCGACTACGGCCCCAACTTTTTAGGTCTGGCGCTGGGTTCGGGCACGTACGTCGTGCAGGACGCTGAGCTGGGCGTGTTGGCGTTTGGAGGGGTTGTTACCTCCAGTACGGGGACCGTGAGCGTCACGACGAAGGATGCGGTTAGGAGAAAGGTGTTTATTGGGCCTTTGGGGGTGCTTGTGAGTGTTGATGCTGGGATCATTCAGGATTTTAGCTTTGCGGTTTCTTCGAAGAGTGTGACCCTTACGTTGGCGCAGTTGGATGGTGTTCCGAAGGCTGCGAGTGCCGTTATTTGGCTGGAGAGTACTACTGGGACTGGTGCGTTCAAGGTTACGACGTCGGGGATCACGCAGGCGAGAGGCGGGTGGTCTGTTCCTCTCTCGGGAAGCAGCGTGACGGTTCAGATCGGGCCTGCGTAGGCTTGTCCATGAGGTTGTGGTGCATGGAAGCGAGGCGAATTTGATATGTCTATAATTTCTCTTCGTTCTAGGACGTAGGTGAGGGTTGACAGTTCTTAATGGAAGCTTAATCTCGCTCTCGCCATCTATAAGGTTTCATGAACCAAGCTCGGTGCCTCTATCCCAACACCATCCAACTCCTCATAACTCACACATCATCACAACATAAGCTCTCCCAACTCTCACTCATGATCACACCATCACAAGACACTCACAACCCCTTCTCCAAAACCTCAAACCACAAATCATCCCTCAACGCAACGCCCCCCACCATCTCCTTATAGGGAAACTCCCTCCTCTCCCCGGTCTTCACATACCCCCTCCTCTCATACCACGCAATCAGTTCCGCCCTCATCCAAAGTACACACATCTCCATCCTGCTCACACCCCACTCCTGCTTCGCATACCCCTCCGCAAACTCCAACACCTTTCTCCCCACACCGCCGGCCTGCCGCTCAGGCGAGACGGCAAACAGACCGAAGTACGCCACTTGAGGGTTCTGTTTACTGCGTACGATTTCGCAGCATGCTAGCGGGGTGGTGGGCTTGTCAACGCCGTTTGTGTCGGAGGAGGAGGAGGAGGAGTCCGTGACGATGAGAACCGCCCCCTCGGGCTCCGCGATTTTGGCTAAGAGACCATGCTCGTCGATGCGTTGGTCCGCTACCAGGTCCGCTTCCGTCGTCCAGCCTTTGCGGGAGAATTCGCCGCGGTAGGCGGAGCGGATTAGGGGTAGGAGGATAGGGACGTCGGAGGGTGTGGCGGGGCGGAAGGAGAGGGGTGTTTGGGGGCTTGAGACTGTCATTGTGGAGGCGTTTATGACGGGGGGTATTGGGGATATGTGCTTGTTGTTGTTTGTATGTTGCGATGGCTGGTAGTGAGAATTGGTGAGCTGGAGATGGTGTGGTGATGCGTGATTTTACCCCGGAGTGAGTTGCGTATCGTGAGATGCTCGGGTATCTTGAAAATGAGCTGGGAGTTTATTGTCTTGATCTTGTGGGAAGACTGAATAAGTGAATGAGTTCCAATATGACGAGTCAAATCTGTCAAAATAGATCATCTGAGATCGTGAACATCAAAGAACCTAAATACAACCACCACTCGTCCAGTCGTCACCCCAGAACCCACCAAACCGCCACACTGGGCCATCATCAAAAAATTTCCCTCAGTCCAGTGTTCAATGTTGTTGACCCACGCCTTTCCATGTACCCAATCCCCACAGGGCCATGTCATCCGCCGTCGATATTCATCTTTGAATGCCACAGGGCTAGAGCACAATCAATCTCCAAAATAGACGAGCATATAGACGCTTATTGGTGTACACTTGAAATCGGGTCTACAACACTGTTCAAATCTCAGAAGTGGTGGGCATGAAATCGAAGTGGGACATCGAGTCATGCAAGGGCGCCGTTAACTCGACATATTTTCGACATGCTTGACATGTCCATTGTCCTCGGATCGGCCCCGCCGACCCAATCGGCTGCCCACTTGCGAATCCGCGCCGTCAACGTTGGATCTCCCGGATCTGGAGATTTGGAACCAACAGGCGTACCTAAGCTTCCTCTCCTCCATAGACTCCGAGTTGAACTTCAATCTTCTAGCATCTCAACGCCTTACGAACGCTTCCAGCAAGAGCGAGAACAGCCGTTTACACGCCTCAAACCCGAGCAATTCTCTTCATCCACCAACCACTTGCTTACTACCTTATGCTACAATCCAGGAACATCGCTGTAATCTCACGCCGACAAAGCCCAAGCTTATCGGATGAACTCACTCACAGACCTGCAAAAATCACTACAAGGATCAAAGCTCGACAAACGTCCAACTAAGAAACCCACAAAATGCCCAGGCAGAAATAAACAGTAAACAGTACAGCGCGCCATTCAGGGTCGACTTTTGAAGTGTGGCATTGTCATTCAGAGACATCTACATCGAGGGTATCGATACAAGCACGCCAAGCAAAAACAGAGAAAACAAAAACGATGCAGTGCTATGCTATGCCATGATGCGTCATACCGCGTTAAATCCGCTCTCTTCTTCGCCTTCATTCCCGACTCTTCTCTCAGACTTCAATGTTTCCCTCCTACCCCTTTTCTAGACTTGTAAGACGTCTTCACTTCTTCACCTTGGGCGAAAGCACCTTCACACCCTGCGCGCTATCCCACACACTGGCACTCACCCTCGCAGGGATCTTGCGCCCCCTCAGCCTCTGATCAATCAACCACAACCCGACAACAAACTCAGCCTTGCCCAGCATCCCCCGATGGCTCCGGTCCACGGCGTCCCACACCTCAGCCAGCTCCTCTTGCGGCAGCCGCGAACGCCGCCAGACCTCGCGGGCCACCACGTCCACCACGCAGTCAGCTGCGTCATGAGGCAGCGGACCGCCGCCGAGACTCTGAATCGTCAAGCCCGTGGTTGAAGAAGAGTCAACGAGCAGCACGCCGCGGTTACTCGCCCACACTGCCTCGTACCGCCTTCGTTCGCGGACCGTGATCTCGTCACGCCACCGCCGTCGTGCGCCCTCTTTGTGGGAGTGCTTGTTGCTGGCGCGCTGGTGCTTCTTCTTGCGGATCTCGTCCTCGTCGTCCGACTTCGATGGCGGCTGGCGGAGGGTCTGTCGCAAGCGCGGCGACTTCGTGCGATTAGGCAGTTGTGGTGGAGATAGTGTAGAGTTGCCTGTATTTGAGGGTGTCAAGCGCGCCGCGGCGAGGGACCCAGCCATAATCGCGTTGGACAGGGAATTCAGCGGAAGACTCGTAGTCGATGAGGCTGGTGTGCGCCGCGGCGTTGTTCGGCTTGGTGAGCTATTTGCTGATGAGCGGCCGGGGGTGCTGTGCGTAGAATGTGTTTGATGGGCCGTCGGGCGAGACGGGACGTATTCAGGGACGGCGGTCTGATTTGACTCTGCCGAAACAAACGTGTCGTTAGAAGAGCTTGTGTCGGCAGTCGACGGCCTGGGTCCTGCTTCTGGCCGACGAAACGGCTCCTGGAGGTGAGCGTGCCCGTAAACAGATGCCATACTGCGAGGCTTCGTCAATGGGGGAGGCTCCCGCTCCTTCGATTTCGTGCCACGTGGCTGAGGTGGTGTGGGCGGCTGCAACTTGCTCTCTGACGTCGGTCTCTTCAGGTCAGGGGAAGCGATCCCAATATTTTTCTCGACGAAGGGCGGCGAGACGGGTTCAACCGGCTTGGCCTTAGTCCGCGACCTCCTTGGTTCCGGCGTCGTCGGAGGCTGCGCGATCTCGGGCTCCGGCATGAGCGTCTGTGTGATGGGCACCCTCGTGAGCTGCGACCTTGACCGTACTCCCGGAGCCTCTGAAGCTTTTGATGACATGTTGACCATCGTCTCTCGCCCTCTGGCGCGCGGCGACTGCTCCAACACCGGCTGCCTATGCACAGCCTTGGCCGGCGACAGGACAGGTTTCGCAGGCGACGACTTGAGCGTAGGTTTTCTTGCCTGCGGCGTGACATCCCCTCTAGGCTCCTCCTTTTCAACAACCATGTTCGGCGTAACAGGCCTTGGTTTGACCCTAGGTTTTGTCTTCAGCACCGCCGGCCTCCGCTCTCCTTCACCGACATCCTCCTCCTCGACGATGCCCATCCTCGCCGCCTTGGCACGGGCTGGACTCAACTCCCTCTCAGGCGTCAACGGCCGAACCTTGGGCCTGGCAGGGACATCCCCTCCGCTCCTCTTCACAGGGTCGACATCCTCCCCGCCCCCTCGCTCAAACATGCTTATCAAATGACCCGTGGCGGGGATGGACGTCGTATCCGGCAAATCGAGGCTGCTCACCACGCTCTCCGTCTCCCCTCCGCCGCTGCCGCTGCCGCGCCTGTTCCTTCTCGCGAGCTGCATTTGCTGCAGTTGGTTCATCTGCGCGGGCGTCAGGGCGGAAGCAGCGGGACTCGCGTGCGGCTGCGGACTAGGCGAGGCGCTTCGCGAGGCGGCTAACGTGGCGGCGATGTAGCTCGGGCTTTTTGGGTCGAGCCGCGTCGTGTGCGGCGTGAGGTGGGATGTCGTCGACGAGGCCGCCGGGCTAGAGGCGAGGAAGTTGGAGAGACGGTCTCGCATGTCGGATGTGCCATCGCGACCGAAGCGGCTGTCGCCTGGGGTCGTTGCCAGGCTCGCACCCGTGTGTTGGCGCTGTATTGGACTTGTGCTCGTGCTTCGGTCGTAGTTTGACGCGGTGGAAGCGGCGATGAGGCTCGCGCCGCGGCGACGGGTGATGTTGCCGGCATTTGATGTGGGTTTCGGAGGCGGAATTGGCTTCGGTTTCGTCTTGTTGAAGGCGAGGTTCGCGCCCTTGAGAGCCGCGGCTGCGTCAGAGGCACCGCCCGAGGGTGGGTGATGGTGGTGGTTGTGGTTGTGGTGGGTGTTCATCATCATGGCGATGGACGACCGCGGGATGGTATTGTAGTGAAGGACGGCAGCATCGGAGGGCTATTGAGTTGTGATCGAAGGTATGGTCGATCAACAGGGCAAGGATGTTTCTGTCATCCTGGGAGCTTCGGCTTCGTCGCGGATAGTCTCGGGGGGGGGGGGGTTGTTGGGCGTACTGTAGATGTGTAGATTCGAGCAAAGGACGAAGAGGAGGGGTCGAGGGATTGTCGGTAGGATCGGATAGAGTCGTAAGGCTGAGATTGAGGTAAACTAAGGCACCTAGGAAGCGAGGCAGATAGGAGTCGAGTGTTGAAGAAAAAGGAAAAAGGAAAGCTGTACAGAGATGAATACGAATAAAGGCGAGGTGGTAATATTACGGATACCATGGCCATGGTAGTAGGTACTAATTTACTCGGCAGCGCGGCGCAGAAAGTGGAAACGACACCTGCCACCTGCACCAGCATGGTACTACGGGGTTGCGCCTGAGCTCCAGCTTCCTGCGGAGATGCGCACCGCGCCCAACGGCTCAATCATTTGGGGGGGGGGAGTTGCGGGGAGTTCAGTCAGCAACAGAAAACAGAAAACACAAGACACAGAAAAAAAGATGGAACGAACGGGTGGCCCGGCGACCTCTGCTTCAGGCTTCTCACCCCAGGTATCCGTCCATCTCAACTTCTCAAGTAAGGTACCTTGCATCGTAGGTAGGTATCCACCTTCTCCGGGGCCGTCGGGTCTGTTCACGTCCGCCCGTCGGGTTTCCTCCACAAGGAAGCTTCACTTGCTGTCTGTATATGGACAGAAACCCCATGCCTGGATGGCCTGACACGGTCCGCGAGTCAATGATTTAAACTTACTAGCACGTTGTTACAAGATATTGGGGAAATGACGCATCTGGGGGAACATCCCCTTAGTACCTTAATTAACAAGAAGCAACCACTAACCACCACCAAGGAAAACAAACGTAGATCTCGACATCACCACCGTCATAGCGGATCTACACACACCATGGCCCTGGCTAGATGCTTATCCTTCAGGACAACCATTATATAAGCACCCACTGACTTCAGACGGACGGGAACGGAGTTCCTAGCTTTGGTGTCTTTTCCTTTTGTTGGGTGGTTTCTTGCTTCTCGCTCACTTTACTTTCCTTAGCTCCCGCGTCCCGGGCGTGCCGCCGCCCACCGGCCATTTCAGTCTTACACCACCTCGACTCACCCACAACTCACAGCACCAATTGATGCAAACGCCGGAACTCGCGGCTTTTGCTGATCAGGGTGGCATCATATTCCTACCCGATTTCATTTCGACTTCACAAGGGGCACATATCACGTCTGGACCGGACGCAATAATGATAATAATGTACGCATCACTGCTTTTTGTTTTTGCTACACTACGAAAGATTCCTATTTATCCCTTGAGGCTGTAAAGCGCAGGGAGAAAGACCAAGACGCAGAAAAGTTTGACCAAGCAAACAAAGACAAAAGGTGTACGCTCATAATCCTCGCAAGGGGGTTGGCGTTGGGAAAGGGGTATTACCCCGTCCAGAAGTACCGACCGCCTCGAGAAACCAAAACTCCAATTCTTTCCATTTGCTTGCAATGACCAAGGAAAACAGAATGTGGCATACCCAGATTCGAGGGTAGCTGGAACGTGTTCCGACAAAGAGAAACAAAACAAGAATTGTCGTCAGAGCTGTCGATGGGTCCAGATGGCCATGTCGTAACATGGTCCAAGGGGAACCCCAATGCCTCACGGCTCGGTTGCCAGTATGTACAGAGAAGGAAGAAAATCACAATGGCCACCTTGTTCCCTATTCCTTCCTTCGACATTCCACCAAGCAAAACCGACCGAGATACAAACGACACGAGAAAAGAAGCGAAGGGCGTCCACAGACACCAATATCCTCGACCAATTATTTTCTTTGCCAGAGAAGAAAAAAAGGCGTGTTCGTCATGAGCGGATAGCAAGTGCATCGTTCAGACATGAGGCGTAATCATCCGACATTATCATCAGGCTGCGAAAAGTCCGCAGCCGGGGCACCAAGATGAAGTAACAGTACGGGAGATGAATCAGAGAGAGACTTGTCGCACTCAGTATCCATCCTCGTCTGTCCACTCGCTGCCTGAGATGATGCGGCCCTCGCCGTCACCGTAGCCATGCCCAGCATGTCCACCAGGTGCCGTCATCGGAAACGGTCGCTGCCTCTTAGGATCGCTGGCCGGCGGCCGATATCCCGCTTCGGGTTCAAAGCGCTTGGTGCCGTTGCGGGCAGCTCGCACCTTGGCGTAGTATGTGTCGCTGGCATCCTGCTCAGGTTCGCTGGCGTCGTCATACGTCTCCCAGTTTTCTGAGCCGGTCACATTACTCGATCCGTTGGATGAATTGGAAATCTGGCGGGGCGGCGGTGCTTGAGGGTAGGAAGAAGGGGGGTATTGGCGGATGGTCGAGGAATGCGAAGATGGGTAGTCGTGTTGAGAGGACCCCTGGGAGTGATGAGAGCTCTGGGAAGCGTATGATGCGTGCGAGTTGTGGGAAGCGTGAGAGGTATGCGAGAGGGTCGAGTTAGCCCTCATCAGCCGAGGCTGCTGACAATCCTCGTCGTAGGGATCCTCAAGCTCGACTTGGCGGACGATGCTCGCGCCCAACCCTACTGACTTGTACGGGTTGACGGGAGTCTCCAACTCGATCGTGCTGAGATCGCGCATTTTGGGTGGAGGGGCACGCATTTGATGATTACCACCGCGGATCGTCGCGTAGGCGTCAATTCTCGACGCCGGTCTCTCCGGTTGTACTGGCGAGGTGTTGCCAAAGTTGCCGTACTTGAGGTTGGTCAATGGGGGCCGAGCCGGGATCCTTGAGGGACTACCCGGTGGTCGGTTAAGAGTTTGCGCTCGCTCTCTCAAGCTGCCCATGGAAGATGCTGGGCGGGCAATCTCCTGTGCTTTTGCGTGAGCAGACACAGGTCTTGTTGATGGAGCCGCGCTGTTCATGTTGTTTGCGCTACGTTTGGTGGTAGGCGCAGGTGCTGGTGTTCTTACACCATTGCGAGTGGGGGGTCTTGCGATGGAGGTAGTGCTCTGCGCTCTGCTATGCCCTCTGGGTCTAGCTGCTGATTGAGGAGCGGCTCCCACCCCCGGTGTCTTGGATCGCGGGCCGGGTGCTGGTCGGTCCTCTGCCTCGAGCACATCCAGGTAGCGCTCCCCATGTACCGTGAAAGGCCGTCCGTACTCGTCCTCAAATCGCTCAAGGATTCTGCGCAAGTCCACGGCAATCTTGGGTAGCTCCTTGGCGATGCGCTTGCGCATCTTCTCTTCTCTGAGAAGCTTGCCAGGATCGCGCTTCTCACCTTTCTGTCCACGCATCATCAGGCGAGAAGCATCCTGACTTGAGGCGGCGAGCTCGTCGCGCTCGCTGGTGAGGCTGCGATGTCTCTCGACGAGCTCGAGGGTAGGAAGTCGTTGCTCCTTCAGAACTTCCAGCCTTGCAATCTCGCGCTCGTGGGCCTCGAGGAGGGCATCGCTGTACACATCGGAAAAGGCGGGTGTGAACTCGAGCATCTCATCCTCGGAAAGGTAGAGTGAGTCCCAGAGTTCCTGTAGCTTGAACCGCGCATCCTCGACGAACAGATGTAGGTTCTGCCTCTTCAGCTCGTTGAGGCGCACAAGCTCATCCTCGAACTCGTTGATTTGTCGCACGCCACAGCCTCGGTTGCTGTTGAGGAACGCCTTCCTCTCTGCCATGTCCACCTCCAGCTTCTCCCAGAGGGCCTCGACGGCCGCGCGCAGGTCCTTGAGACGCTTCTCACGGTTCTTCTTCTCGTCCGAGAGCTTGTCGCGCTTCGCCTTGAGACGCTCAATATCTTCCTCGTGCAAGCCCAATTGTTCCGGTGACTCGCGGTAGTACTTGACAATGGCACCGTCGGTTTGAGCCTGAGGGGTGCCCAGCTCGGCCCAGAGTTGGATTGTGTGTTCGCAAAGGGCCTTAACCGTCGCGACGCGGCGTGTGTACTCTTCATAGACTCTCGTAAACTCATGGTCGAGCTTGTCCACGTAGGACGGCGATAGGTCGAAGTTGGGAGGGACGGATTGGTTTGGGCCCGTCGGCGGCAGGGGAATCTTGACGAAGGTAGGCTCAAGATGTGATGAGTATGACTCAAGCGCTTCGACAAGCTCTGGATGACATGTTAGTACACGGTATCATCTAGCAACTTTCCGCTTTCTGGCCGACTCACTCTTGACTTGTTCGAAACGCTCCTTGTGCAGTCGGCTGACTTGCTTGTGCTTCTCCTTGAGGCCCTGCAAACATCGGGTCAGGGGGTAGGTAATCTGGATTTCGTCGCTGCGGTCTCGGCGTGCGCGGTTGTCGTCGAGGGATGCCTCCATCTGCTGTATCGTGGTAATAATGCGCTCGGCTTCCTCAATCATTTCCTCCTTTTCATTTGTGACTAGGTTCACTTGATCGGTAAGGGCCTTGGAAAGTGCCTCGAAGAGCTATGGGGCGATTGTCAGCACGAAGTGATGGAGGGAGAGTGGGCCGAGAGAAGCTTACGTCTTCCTCGCGCTTTTCGCGATCATGGTTGGGAACACCAATCTCATCGAACAAACCGTGCAACTGGCCGATGATGGTGTTGACCTGTTGGGACAGGTAACTCGTGTCCATGGTGGATTAAACAGGCCAAACTGAAAGCCAAAAAGAAGGTGAGGATAAGAGAAAAGGCGGTAAGGTTCGGGGAGTTGATTTTGATTAAGATAAGTGCGGTAAGGCGTGCAGGTCGTGGGGGTAAAAAGAGTGGGCGCAGCGCAAAGGCTGAGTGTTGATGCTATTCACGGTGGCGGGGAGGACAGTGCGGGTGCGGCGAGGGAGTCGATTTGTTTACTTTCTCTGCGGTACTTGGAGGCGGTTGCGACGGGGACTAGGGAGGAAGCGAATGGTCACCGAAAGTATTGCGGCGTATCGTGCATCGTCCAGCAGGTAAAGTCGTCCAAGTGAGGGAAAGTATTAGGATGTAGCTGCGTTTGAAATCTGCAGTCTCCTTGGATCTGTGAAGCCGAAGAGATTTGTCTGAGACTGCCCGATCTGTGGTTCTCCCAAGTTGTTGATGACCGATGGGATCTTTTTTTCCGGAGGGATGGATGGCGGAGGGCGGAGGTTGGGGAAAGTGGAAAGTGAAAGAGGATGGGAGGAAACAAACTTGATGAATTGAATTCACAGACAAGAGGGAGGGAAAGACCTGGGATCTGATGCGAAGGAGGTGGCCGGGAATGTCGTGAGAAACGGGTCCTCAGTTTTCCTGTTTGGGTTCGCGTGGTGGGGAACGTATCCACGGCAACGGGGTCGACTCTCAGCAGGCAAGGGTTACAGTGCGTGAGTGCCTTTTTTCGTGGTGGGTTTCAGGAAAGAGCTACCCCGCCATTAACCACCTTCCGTCCATTCACAAATCACGATTCGCTCTTGCTCTGTCTGCACTTCAGCTGCCTGCACCTTTGAGACAGGGGTAGGTCGTCAAAGATACGTACCTGTTGCTGGGGTTCCAATTGCTTTAGTGCCAGGCGAGTGGGTCTCTCGCTTGCTGTCAGCTCAGCCCAATAGCCAATCTTAGCTAAGCACGCTTAATCACTTGTACCTCGTCAACTCAACGTTTGTCTCGATGTCCTGACAGCTGCCTCAAGTCTTCTATTGAAACGTTGGCCACCTTAACGGCCATTTCATAGGTGAACAAGATAATGTTACATATCTATGCTTCTCTCAAGAATAGAATGCCCCAAGATCTCAAGCGTATCTGTTGAGTTGTGATAATGCTGCTGTTGGTTGGCCTCCTGCAAGCACCTCGGACGATCAAACACACGCCGCTCTGCGCAAACAAATCACCCGCAGCTCTAGTCGCGCATCGGCAACCCGCTTTGTTTACTTTGCTGCATCGCATCGCATCGCATCGCCCCCAACGAACTCTCCAAGTCCGCGTCCTTCTGCAAGTCATCCAGCTGGTTGCTGCCCACAACAAACAACAACCTTTTTTTCTCTCTTTTTAAACTAATACCTTAGACTCTTGCTCTTTCGTACGTCGTACGTCGTACGTCTGCCTCGCATCACGCTAAAATCATGCACACGACAACTCTCTTACACCACCAGCTCCATCACATTATCCACACCCGATTCCTTCATGCACCTCAACCTCGCAGCTTCCCCTCCGACTGGCTTCTCGCTACGAATAGACATATCAAACTCCCAAGTCTCCAACAAAAAATTCCGTAGCAGGCCGAACGAAAATCAGGAAAATCGATCTGGCTCATCTCGGCTCTTTCCCATCCCTTGCTCGCCCCTCCCCCCCTGCCACGCTGCCTTGCCCCATTTCTGCTGTGGGCATCTTCAGGCGCGTGCTCCAGCGGTGAGATGCAAACGCATCCTCTTCCACCCCCGGTCCGCCCGTCGCTTCACCATGGTGACGGCCAACCAACCTTGCTTTTCCTGATAGTATCCGTACGAAGTGCGCATCAAAATCGCAATCGCGGCGGTACGGACTTTATGCTTTCTTCTTTGATCTGATCTTCCCCTCTTATTCAGGTGATCATCTGCTCTTCCAGCCAAGTCCAGACCTACTCTCAGCCCGAATGGCTTCCAACTTCCTACGGAGTAGACTACGAATACATGGATAGCTGGGAAATACTGTACCCAAGCTCCCATCAGTTTCCCCTCCTTATTGCAAAGTTGCAATCGACTGCCCGGGAAACCATGAGTCTTGGGATGACAGTCCCATAATATCAGGCCCATGCTCCCTCTCCCTTTCCCAGCCTCCCCAGATTCGGACGAAAATCTTCGTAACCGACCCGTTCAGAACCAAGTTTGATCTCCGCAGCCATTGGGTTCGCTTCTCGCCGTCGCACTGCCCGGAACTTCACCAAGTATCCGTACTGTACAAACCGGCTCTGATCCAATCCCAATCCAAGTTCAACCCAACAGACACACATACGGCACAGGCCGTCCACTAGTAAGCTTCTGGAACCTGACCTGGCTCGGGGCATTTGTTACGCGCGCATTCTCGGCCTCCGCCCCTCTCCCTCACCCTTGCTCTGCTGTGGCTGGTGGCTGGTAAATCCAATGGCTAGCCGCTAGCGTTCCTTGCCCTTGTCTTTACTCTGTCTCGGCGACGTCATCGTTACCTTCTCTCAACTCAACTCAAGGCGCGGTTGCCCGGTGGACCTTGATGCGATCGTGATCGGGCTTGCTTACCCTGCACCTCAAACCAACCCGTGGCATTATCGCACTTCGCCATGGCTGAGAGATGGATAATGTGCATGGCTTTTTACTATAGCTCAAGGTCTGCACTCCACGTGTATGTCTCCAGCCACCTGTGATCAATCAACCTGTTCTGTAATTATCTGTACGTAAGAGCATGACTCCAAGTTGCTTAGTCTGAGCCTCTCGAGGAAATGCTCCTTCCTGAGACGCAGGCATGTACAGAGAAGTGCGACTCTCTCTCTTGCAAATATGGTAGTGACCATGTGAGGTCTCGTTTGATGCCTTGGGCAAGGCGAATGTAAAACAAGGCTTGCTTGACCAACAATGATGTTTTAGAAAGGTCGCTGAGTACCTAGATATCGAATGCGCAGTACAAAAACCACATTGGACTACAGTTCTAACAACAATACTCAGGCGTAACTTTTTGTCGAAGACGTCGTCCTTCTATCCACCCAATGCGACAAAGTGCAACAATGGATGACTGGGTGAAGATATGGGTCTCGTTTGCCAAGCCCAACAAGGAAGGTAGGTAGTAGAACGCCTTCTGCATATGACATGGGCGACGCTGCCTTCGCCAAGCCCTACGATCTTCGGTCTGTCTCCTTATTTTGTGACAATAAGTCGCTTAGGATGGACTTGTCCAAAAGCGACTCATAGACCTCGATTTCAATCGAGGTGCGGACTTTCATGTCACCGCAACAATCGGCTCACCCACGTCTGCACGTGGTAGCCTCTCTGTTCAGCCAAGTCCAGCAAAATCAGTCCGTACTCTCTTTCGGGATACATTAGTATCTACAATTCAGGTATCTCGCTGAAACGCAAGTGCACAATTGACAGGCTTTGGTTGTCTCTTGATACGAAGACAACCCCGTCTTAATTGTCTCACGGCATTGGAAAATGACGAGACTAAGGTAAAAGGCTGAGTAATCCGCTGTGAATGTCACGCAATATAGAGGTGTGTGTTGAAGCTGATTGGTCACTCAACGTAATGGATAGCCGGAGAGAAAGGCTATCAGCTTCTCCAGTACTATATGGCTCCAGGCAGACCGCATGTTCATTTGCTGTTAGTAAGACAACTCGCACCTCAGTCTACGGGTCATGTCTGTCAGAGTCGCATTCATGTACAAAAGCAGACTAATAGCGATCAAGCGCAATGGAGTGCAATATCTTGTCACTAGGCAGCCAAATTGAATTCACTTGACAAACTTACTTAAGAACCACTAAGGTTTCGAAGTCCCCAAAGCAGTGTTCAAGATCTCATTTCCGAGCTTCCAAGTCTTCACTTTGGTTCAAAAGTCTCACAGAAGGCCAATAAAATGTCTCTCAAATCCCTCATCATCGCGGCTCTCAGCCTATCCCCAGCAGCCGTCCGAGCAACCTTCCCCTTCTTCAACTCAGGCGACCTCGCCGCGGCCAATAAATTCGACTACATCCGCCAAGAACACAACGGCGTCGTCCAAACCGTCACAAACGTAGTCTACAAAGGCACCACCGCCCTCAAAATGACACAGACCTACGACCCCTCCTACACGGGTCGCTACCACTCCGAAGTCGACGTCAACGACGGCTACACCCGCGGCCAAGACCGCTTCTACGGCTTTGCCTTCCGCCTCTCGGAGTCCTGGCAGTTTCAGCCGCAGTCGTACAATATCGCGCAGTTCATCGCCAATCGGCCGGGTGCGGGCTGTGGCGGGGATGATTGGATGCCGTCGAGCATGCTCTGGCTCGAGGGCGACCAGCTTACCTCGCGCATCGTGAGTGGGCAGTATCGGCAGCCGGATTGCGGGCGGAGTATTACGAAGTATGGGAACTTGACGACGGTTGAGCGCGGGGTGTGGCATCGGGTTGTGATTCAGGCGAGTTGGCGGAGCGATGCGACTGGGTTTTTTAAGATTTGGTATGATGGGGTCAAGGTGTTGGAAAAGTATAACGTTGCGACGACGGTGAATGATGATAGTACTTTTCAGTTTCGTGTGGGGTTGTATGCGAATAGTTGGTATGATCAGGGTAAGTTGGATGGGGATCAGGGGTTCCGACAGGTGTGGTTTGATGAGATAGCTGTTGACTCGACTTACAAGGCGGTGGATCCTAGTCAGTGAACTCTAGAGTGTGGACCTTAGGGGAACCAGTCGACCGACATTGAAGGAGCATATTTTTGACTTGGGGCATGCGATAAGCTTACTTAGAAAGTGTGCTCATGTCTTCAGTCAATCAGTACAGTACTTGGTTGGAAGAGATTCGAATTTAGGTTTGTAATTACACTTGTCCCATACAATCTCCGTATGACAAGACCAGTCCGATTTCCGGGATAGCTAGGAACTTTGTGTTGCAGCTCCAGAAGAGTTTTCTCTATTGTAAAAGTTAGGTCATGCTTCAATAGCATGAATTTGCGTAAACCGCTGCGGGTGGCAATGACTACTTCGGTAGGATTTGAAATGCGGCAACTAATTCTATTCCCCGGTGCCGTGGCTCCGTTATACGAAGAGTCAACCAGATGCTATGATCATCTGCGTACTGCTTTGGTTTTCGTAAGTACCTGTCTCATATCAAGGACTCATTCTTTGTGTAGTAACTACAGTGTACTTCCCGCTCGAAATGTAACGTCATTGTCTTATGTACAACAAGAAGTCTCCTTCCTATAACCGCTGTTTCCAATATGGTGTTTTCATAGTAGCAATCCCTTTGAATAACGTACTTCATCATAAAACCTAGTTTGTGATATCTCTCTAGGCCAGTTGCACTTATCCCGACGATACAGCATCGTTGCAGACCCTCACCTCATCAGGAATTCGTGAGGTCCGTTACCAAAACCTGAGATTCCAGGATATCGGATCCTGTAGACTTACACATCATCACACAACCCCAATGATTAGCGACTGAGATTAGTGGGATCCAATGGACTGTTTAAGATCATTTGTCTCGGAAACATTTCCAACCAAGGCATCCTGGGTGGAATTTGTCCGTAAATTACTTACCTCAGTCGTTGGTTGTCTCCGGCCGGAGACTAAATTTAGACCCCAACGATGGGTACTTTCGGCTGGGATTCGTAATTGCGCGGTTGTTTTTGCCATTTCAACTAAGGACTGGCTCCATGTATGATTTCAAATCGTTCCAATCTTCGTTAAAACTTCGTAGTGGCCATTTCTCGGAACGTGAACCGAACCTGGCTGACACATGACAACAATATGGACTTCGTGGAGCCCATCCCGGCTGCAATATCAGTCCGTATTGCTCTGTATAAAATCTATGTACAAACTTGGTAGCTTCTCGCGTGGAAAAAACAGATTAAATTTGATTTGTCACTCTCTGTTATTGCTTTCTATCCAGGTCGGAATCTTTTGACCTCGCCACTCTTTCACCTAGCCTCAAGTCCAACGATGACTACGAGCAACGAACCAAGAAGAGAAACAAAAAGTTCGCCTCCCCTATGTCAGGAACCTCCGCAAGCCTCAATAGCCCGCGAAGTTGCCTCGGATGGCGGCTACGGCTGGATCGTCACGACCTCCATCGCGATCATCTACGCGCACTCATGGGGCATCAGCGCGGCGTATTCCGTCTTCCTCGCCCACTATATCAGATCCGATACCTTCCCCGGCACAAGCGCACTCGTCTACGCTGCCATCGGCTCCCTTTCCATAGGAATCACCCTCGTCATATCACCGCTAGCTACAATCATGGCACGCGAGTTAGGGACCAGACCCACAATGCTCCTCGGCGCCGTCTTACAGTCTGCTAGTCTTGTGTGCGCGAGTTTCGCAAGCCGGATCTGGCACCTCTTCCTCTCGCAGGGACTTCTATTCGGTGTCGGGATGGGACTGCTATTCTTGCCTTCGTATGGTATTGTCGCGCAGTGGTTCACCGCGCGGCGCGCGTTAGCCAACGGCGTTGCTATTGCGGGCGCTGGACTAGGCGGATTAACGTACTCGCTTGCCGTGGGCGCCATGATGAACAGGATGGGCCTTCTCTGGGCTTACCGCGTTCTTGCAATCGTCTCCGGCGTAGCGAACGGAGTTTCAGTCCTTCTTATCCGGACACGGTACGGGGAGACGCGGGCAAAGCGTTTGGCCCTGGACACCTCCCTGTTCAAGAGGGTGGATTATCTCCTGATTCTAGGCTTTGGCGCGCTCAGCATGCTGGGGTACTTCATTCTCGTCTTCACACTAGCGAACTACGCAAATGTCATCGGGTTGGACCCGTCTCAGGCTTCCCAGGTCTCGGCGGTATTCATGCTCGGTCAGGCTGTCGGACGTCCCGTCATTGGATGGCTGAGCGATCGGTTCGGACGCATCAACATCACGTACTTGATGACTCTGGTGACGGGAATACTGTCTCTTGTTTTCTGGGTGAACGCAAAGTCGTTTGCGGCGTTGATTGCGTTCGCTCTCATCGTCGGTCTACCCGCTGGCGTGTTCTGGGTTAATGCGGCGCCTGTGATTGCTGAGGTTCTGGGTACGGAGAACTTGGCGTCCAGTCTGAGTCTATTATGGTTGATGATGGTTGTTCCCTCAACCGTTAGTTCGCCTATCGCCTTGGTGATATACATGAGGACGGGAACATATCTTGGGGCTCAGTTGTTCACGGGCTTTACATTTGTTGCTGCTGCAGGTTGCGTTTTTGTTCTACGCCGACATCAGATCAGACTCCGAAGGAAGGCTTCAGGGTTCACGCTTGATTCTTTTGGAGAGGATGGAATAGGACCAATGGGATCCAGAATGCAACAGGGGTTCATAGGACTATCTAGCTGGGTGGTGGTGTGATGGCCGAAGAATCTTCAAAACTCGTACCAGTTTTCTAGAAGCTCCACCAAAGATGAACGCTTCACTTACACGATATTAGGGCTACGAAGGAGACATCGAATTCCACCTGAATATTTATTCCCTGTATTATTCAGGTACCTTGTTCAGAATAATTATGATTACTGTTGGGACGGCCATCGAAGGCATGTCTAAGTCTATGACCACACTCTCATCCAAGTCTTTGTTTTATGCAATTTTACCCCGCCGAACCATCGGCTCAAACCAATGCGAATGAAAGGAATCGAAACCACTGACCTCTTCTCTGATAGCGCCGGAAGAAACAACTCTAAGTAGAAGAAAAAGGAAGCCACAAAGAAAATTACGGGCACCACATCTCAACCTTGACGCCACGAAGCTCGTCCATGATACCAAAGTCCAAACCGTGTTGACGGAAAGCAACAATGATCATGTCAAACGTCTCAAGCGTCTCCTTGTTCCACTTCTCATCAGCCAAGCGAGGAGCAACAAGCACGGCGCTCTGCTTGACGAGAGGGTCCGCGTACATGACATCGACCTCGCCGGAGCGAACAAAGGCCTTGACGAGGTCAACACCCGGCGAGTTACTCAGGACAGACTGGCCAGCCTTGAAACCTACACCGACGACGAGAACACGCGGACGCACCAGAGCCGAGGCAGCTCCGGCTTTGGCATCTCTCGTCAACGAATCAATAGCGCGGCGGGCAATAGCGGCGGGTCGCGCAGCCATCTTCTCGGCGGCGGCTTCCAGCAAGGGGAAAGCGCTGTTGGAGAGGAGGTAGTACGGATTGACGGGGATGCAGTGGCCGCCGACGCCGAGGGAAGGGGTATAGGGCATGTAGCCAAAGGGCTTGGAGGCGGCGGCGGCGGCGACCTCATAGGGGTCGATGCCGTGCGGGATGCAGGCGTCTGCCATTTCGTTGGCGAAGGCGATGCACATCAGGCGCTGGCAGTTCTCGTAGAGCTTCATCATCTCGGCGACCTCTGTGCGGCTGACGGGCACGAGGCGGTCAAAGACCTGGTTGTAGAGGCGCATGACAGAGGCCAGCGAGCCGGGGATCTCGTCGTCGAGGCCAGAGACGATCTTGGGGATCGCGTGGCAGGGGGGCTCGATGCGTCCTGGGTCGACGCGCTCTGGGGACATGCCTGCGTAGAAGCCGTGGGCCGTAGCGACGGGGCCGAGGAGGCTGCGGGTCATGCCTACTGCGACGGAGCTCTCTATCACGACGGTGGAGCCTGGTCGCGCGTGCTGGGCGACTGTGGCAATGGCGGACTGGAGGTAGGAGGTGTCGATAGACTTGTCTGCCTTGAGGAGGGTAGCGACGGAGATGAGGAAGTGGGTGGCCTCGTGGAGGTCCGTCTTGGAGGTTGTGAAGCGGATGCGTTTGCTTGGGAGTTCCTCGCGGATCTCGCTGATTCTCTTCTCTGACACATCGAAGCCGAGGACGTCGTAGTGGGCAGAGAACGATTCGACGAGGTGAGTGCCGACGTAGCCGACGCCGATGACGGCCGCGAGGGGTTGGTCATTGGGGTCGACGACGGGAGAAAGGTCGTGGACGCGGTCGTTGTGAGAGAAATGGTGCTCCTTGTACTCTGGCGGCGGCGTGACAGGCGTGAGGGGGAGGTCAAAGTTGGCCTTGAAGCTGTCGAAGCCGGAGAGGTTGAGGCCCAATGCTTCAGGAGGAGGTGTAGGAGGTGCCGGCACAGAAAGGCTGCGGCTGTGGAAGGATGGCTTGTCGATGGTGACCCTCATTTTGAA